CGCCTTGAATGTGCTGTGTCACGGCGGAGCCCGGCTATGTGGCCGTGACTCAGCGGGGCCCGGGGTTTCCTAACTCACTCCGGGAGCTGAGGCAGCCTGGCCTGGCGCGGCTGGTTCTGGGTCAGGTGCTTGGCCCAGCTGTTCTCGCTTAGGTAACCAGCGTCACCTAGATTTTGCCTCTGCACAAGGGTCAGCTGTTTGTGGATGTTTCAGAAGATTTGGGTCTGACCTTGGAACAGTGAGGTGAGGTTGGGGGAGGCCCTGTGGTAGAGAAAGTGGTCCAGAATGGTGCAGCAGCCGGTTCCCCGCCAGCTTTCTGGGAGTGAGCCCCTAAGGGTGGTGGAGCCTCCCGGGACCCTCCCTGGTGCCCTCTTTGGATTAGGGGTACCTGGCTCTGAAGCAGGGCCAGAGTGTCTTGGTGGCTCTCAGATGCTCCCCAAACATCCCCTCTCCAGGCGGCTTCCCGGCTCCAGTGCAAGTGACTTGGCTGAGTTAGGTGGTGGCTGCCGCCCTCTGAGCTGAGTGGGAGCCGAAGCTTGTCAGGTGAGCAGTGAAGGCAGCACCTGGTGGGGGCGCCTCTGTGCCAAGTTTACTCACAGATCCCGGGGTGATTAACCCACTTCAAGGGGAGAAAAGGGGCCTCTGATCCTGTCCCTCCCACCTCCTTTGTATCTTTGCTTTTCATGACGAGTTTCTGGATCTCTGCCAGGTGTGTGGGATGGTGAGCTCTCAAGGGGCTGCCCCATCCTGATTCTGGGAATTGGGTGCAGAGGGCAGGTCCAGGTTCCTAAGTCTGGCTGAGCTGACCGGGCACAGCTCGGCCCTCCCCATCATCAAGTCCCAGCATGGGAGCACCAGGGGGCTGTGGGGCAGGCCTGCGGTGGCGGGTTGGTGCCTGTCCTCAGTGGGTGAGTCTGTCCAGGGCCCTGGTATGGTTTACTGGCAGGCATGAGGGCACAAGCTCCCTTCTTTATTGCAGGCCAGGACTCAGGACGCGATGAGGTTTTTACAGTAGGGAGGTCAGTCCTGTGACACACAGACTGGGCATGGGCCTCAGTGAGTGTGGGCTGAGGGAGGAGGAGCTGAGGGTTCCTATCAGGGCCTGGCCGGCAAGCAGCCCCTGAGGCAGGGATCCTGCAGTGCCAGCTTCCTGGGGGCGCCTGCACACACGGTGTCTGGGAAGGCCGTGCAATAGATCCGCATGAGGGATCGTTTGCCAGAGAGGAGGAAGGGCTGTGACCCCCCGCTGAGGGATATCCAAGACATCTGGGCTTGGACTGCAGAGCCGCTGTTGGGTGGGTCCAGACCACAGGAGAGGCTGCCAGCCCCCAGGGAGGAGGGTGAGCATGGGAGTGGGCCTGGGGGTAGGCTGGTGCTGTGACCAGAGGCAATTCAGGGCACAGGTGCAGGGCTGGAGGGAAGGGCCCAGTGGTGTTAGGCTGAGCAAGTTGTGAGGAGGCCCCAGAAACAGCTGCAGGAGGAGTGCAGGCTGGTCAGCGGTGGGGGTCTCCTCCCTGAGGGAGGGCTGTGTACATCACGGGGCAGATCTGTTGGTCCAGAGTCCTGAGGGGCCTGGGGTCCCTGGGGAGGACAGGCAGGACCAGCAGGGGCATCTCAGGTGTCCCCCATGTCGTGGGTTGAATTGTGTACCCTAAAAGATGCATCTGAGGCCTGGTATGGTGGCTCATGCTTGCAATCCCAGCACTTTGGGAGGCTGAGGCGGGCGGATCATGAGGTCAGAGTGAGACCAGCCTGGCCCACGTGGTAAAACCTCATACCTACTAAGAATACAAAAAATACAGGCGTGGTGGTGCACGCCTGTACTCCCAGTTACTCAGAAGACTGAGGCAGGAGAATCGCTTGGACCCGAAAGGCAGAGGTGGGAGTGAGTTGAGATTGCCCCACCTCACTCCAGCCTGGCAACAGAGCAAGATTCTTTGTGGGGGTGGGGGGCGATGCATCTGAGCTGCAGCCCCCTCACCTGGGAATGTGACGTTACGTGGACACACGTCAGGTCCTTTTCCCAGGGTTGGCTGTCCACGGTCTCAATTACTGGTGTGAGGTCCGAATTCCGGGTGGTACAATTCAGGAGGACGTTGTCGCTCACATAACCTTGAATACCATGCAAGGCTGAAATCCGTCTTTGTTACTAGTTAATTTTGTTAACGTCTACTGGGCTTGATGCACAAATGGAGATGTTCGTATAGGAAAGACCTGGTATGTGGGGGTCTCGTGCTGTCTGCCGCTTCAGGTGTCCACGGGGGGTCGTGGAATGTATCCCCCCTGCTGCAAATTTGGGGGTGCTACTGCAGGGTGTTTGTAATCAGCTTACAATGAGGCCAGTAGGGTGGGATCCTAAGCCAGTGACCAGCCTCCTTATAAGAAGAAACTTGCACACAGACACTCTGAAGAGATAACCCCCAGAGCAGAGGCAGACACCGGAGCCATGGGGCTGCCAGCCGCGAAACGATGGATACCAAGGGGAGGAGGAGGAGCACCCCAGGCCCTGGAGGGAGGAGGGAGGAGGGAAGAGGGAGGCGGCCCTGCTGACTGCCTGTCTTGAGACTCTGGGCCTCAGAGCCGCCTGTGTGAGGCTGTTCAGTGCCTGGCCCTGTGTCGCCGTCTCCAGCGTCTCGGCCCTGTGCTGCTCAGCACGGCTTCATCACGCCTGCTTCCGCCATGGTCAAGGACATCGGCTGGGTAACGGAACAGCAGGGCTGGCCATCCTGCAGAAGACTGCGTGGCTGTGGGTGCTGCTAGCCCGGGGCCTGCCTTTGGCTCCACTGATGAACAGCCTCGAGGGCCAATGCCTTCATGGCTGCTGTTGTGGATTCTCGGTCCCCAGGGGGGCTTGGCCTGGCTGCTTCCACCCCAACCTGTTCCACTAGTTTCTGGATAAGGCCTTCAGAAGTCCCTTAAGAGCTTCGTTTGAACGGTGTCTCCCTGGGAGTGGGGTTGGCTGTCCCATGCACTGTGCGCCCTGTCGAAGGGCTGGGGGGATCAGGTTCTGTGCACCCGGCGCTGCTGCCTCTGTGTGACGGGATGGGGAAGGACTGTGCTGCCAGGTGCCTCTGCAGCTTGGAAATTCCCTCGAGGCTGGTGTGTGGCTGAGGGTTGGGTCTGGGTGGTGCTGTGCAGTGGGGTGTGGGCGGCCTCTGCTTGTCCTCTGTAGTCTCATGTCCACCCTGAGCCAGGCTCCTCCCATCTGCTGCTCTGGGTGGTGGAGTGCCATCTCGGCGCGGTGTGGCTGCTGAGCGGGTCCAGATTCAGGGTGACGTGAGAGTCCCGGACCTGCCAGGCAACCCTGTATCCACACTAGCCTGTGCGCGATGGGTCGTGTACTGCCAGGCCACCACTGAGGCACGAGGCTGTCCTGGCTGCAGGGGGAGCTTGGAGCGTGTTGCCACCGAGCAGCAGGTCTCGGGCAAGTGGCCTCCCTGCGCTTGCTGACGTGGTCCCTGTGGCGCTGACTGGTGCCGGCTGGTTCCAGGGGGAAGCCTGGGTGGAGGGTGTTCCCCACCAATCTCCTGTGTGGCTGGGGCTGCGTCCTACTTCAGAAGGCATCCCTCCTGTCCCTCCTGCTGGCGACGCTGGCACTGTCTGGAAGGGCCCCAACCCTCTTCCCCGGCAGAGTGGGTTTTGTTTGTCCAGTGAGTCCTTGTTTGTCCAGCTGTTTGCCGGGACGCCCCCCGTGTGATGAACCTGCTGTCACCCTGACATGGCCACCAGGACTGGGTCCCGGGAGTCTCAGCCCTGGTGGGGTGGGGTGGGGTGGGGGAGTGAGGCTGCCAGAGCCCCGTGAGGGCAGGCCTGGATGCTGGGCAGTTTGGGGCAGTGACCGCCTCTGTGCTCCCTCTGGTCCCCACCTGGTCTGAACCTAGGCTGGCCAGGCTGGAGGTTCCCGGTGCGCTGACCCCCACAGTCGGGTCTGACAGGCATCCCCTTGGGGTGCGGTTGCCTGGGGCTGTGGAGGGACCCCCTGTCCCAGGTGAGGACAGGAGGACAGGAGTCTGGGGCCCTTCAGGGACAGGCAGGACTCAGCAGCACACTATCCAGTACCAGGCATTGGTGGGGGTCCAAGAACCTGTAACCGGCAGGGGTGACAGGGCAGGGACCCCAGAGAGACCCCATGCAGTGCATGTGGGAGGCTGGATGCAAAGGTGGGCTGGCGGGCGGAGGGCACCTTTGTGGAGGCTTGTGCACGTGCTCTGTGCTGCTTAGGTGTCCGTGCGGCGTTGGCCGCCATGCTGGTCTGGGGAGGCGGCGCCGTCCAACAGGGTGTCCCCTGGCTGCTCCACGTGGCTTGAGGGTTCTCAGATCCCAGGCCCTCCAGCCGCACCCCACCCCCAACCCAACCTCTGTGCGGAGGCTGCGCAGTTTCAAGAAGAGCTATGGCTTCAGGGCTGGTGGCCTGAGCTCAGCCTCCTCAAGGCAGCTTCCTAATTCTAGGAAGGGGCACTGGGGTCACTGCCTCCTGCCGCTTGGGGTGAGGGGTGGGGACTTGGGAGGGAAGGCAGTTCCATGGCCTGCAGGGACAGGTGGGGACAGCCTTGGGAGGCAGGGCTGGCCAGGTAGGCCCACGCCGTCTTGAGCGGTGCTCTGCATGAAACTGCACATGAACACCTGCTCCTTGACATCAGCCTCCCAGAAAGGTTTTTACACAGTCAAGTCTGCCACTTGGTCAGAGGCTAACACGTGCTTAGGTATTTAAACGGTGAGGGGCAGCAGCAGCGCGTCAGAGGCAAGGGCCCAGCTGTTGGGGTGCAGTGCCGGGCGTCTGTCTGAGCACAGGCTTTCTGCCACTGGCAGAGCCAGGCCTCCTGCTGCCCACTGGGGGCTGCATGGACGGGGTGGGGGTGTCCTTCCAGGGCTCCCCGAGCAACCCCCACGCCTTCTGCCCTGGGTCTTGGAAGCCCAGGCGGACGGTCGTCCTCCTCAGCTAGGCTTCTGAGCTCTGCAGCACCAGGTGGCCTGTGGATGATGGGGGCCTCTGTTGACAGGTTCTGCGTTAGATCTACATCTCAGTGACGTGAATATTGCATCCCTAGAGAAGGATCTGGAAGAGCAAGACGGCCACGACCTGGGACCAGCAGGTAGGCTGTGAGGACCTGCGGCCCGCTCCTGGGCGCTCTGCAGGAGGAGCTTGAGCTCGGGAGGCCACGGCTGCAGGGTGCCGAGATCGCACCGTTGCACTGCTGTGTGGGTCACAGGGCAAGACTCCATTTCTGGTTTTGGGGGTGGGAGGGTCCCCTCTGGCAGTACCTGTCCCTCACTTGGCACCACACTCCCCTGCACGTGGACTCCTCAGCGCCTCTCCTGCCTCAGGTCGTCTTCCTACCTCTTTGGTTCACCTCTGTCCCAGCAGAGTGGCCCTGCAGAGACAGGTGGGGCTTTCCTGAGGAGAGTCCTGACGGTCCAGAGGACAAACATAGTTACTTTGCATACAGAATGTATTAACATTGTAGACCAAAGATCAACTCCGATATATTTTTATTTATTTTTTCTGAGACTGAGTCTTGTTCTGTCGCCAGGCTGGAGTGCAGTGGGGCGATCTCGGCTCACTGCAGCCTCCGCCTTCCGAGTTCAAGTGATTCTCCAGCCTCAGCCTCCCAAGAAGCTGGGACTCCAGGCCCGCGCCACCACACCCAACTAATTTATGTATTTTAGTAGAGATGGGGTTTCACCGTCTTGGCCAGGATGGTCTCCATCTCTTGACCTCGTGATCCGCCTGCCTTAGTCTCCCAGAGTGCTGGGATCACAGATGTGAACCACCTTGCCCGGCCAATGCAAATGTATCTTAATGTATCCTAACATCTTACACAAGATGCCTTCCTTCAGCCTAAAAGTTTATCTTTTTCTTTCTGACTGTAAAAGAAAAGAAACCATTTCGGGGCCCTGGACCAGTGCTGGGAGGGCTGTGCCAATGGCTGAGTTGGCTGGCAGGGCCTGGTGGGTGTCTGGCCTCTTGGGGGACCACATTGAATTGCCTGTGTCCCCACCTCTGGTTAGAATCCCTTTGAGCCCGTGGCTTCCCCAGCTGTGAGGGATGTGGTTACCTGGAGCTCTGTGGCTCCACACCCATGGATGGCGGCTGCTGGCCTGGCCTGGCCTCCATCACCCCTGCCTCCCCACCCCCATGTCCCCACCACCAGCGCCTTACAGGGTCCATCTTCTGTGGCTGCCCCCAGCCCGTGGGCAGATGTTTGGGCAGAGGCCTGGCCTTACTCCCTTCACTCACTGGGCTGCCCCCGCCAGGTCCCAGGTTGCTGGCTGGCTCTGCGCCTGTCGCCATCCCCGGCTCCCTGCCCCGAGCACCGACAGTGCACTCGCCATCCTCTGCATCCACCTCGCCGCTCGGCTCGCTGTCCCAGCCCCTGCCGGGGCCCTCGGGCTCCTCGGCCATGACGCCCCCCCAGCAGCCACCACCCCTGCGCTCAGAGGCGGGGGCACTGGGCTCCGCATCCTCATCCTACAGCCCCTTAGGTGAGTGCCGGCGCCCCCCCCACGAGCATTCCCACCCAGACACCCTCCTGAGTTAGGGGCCCCGCACTGAGCCGTGTGCCTGATCCACGGAGGGAAACCGCATGGCACATGCTCACGGCATCTTTCCATTAAAAAAACGTTACTTATGTGACTGGTCACGTGTTCCACCGCCCCCTGTCCTTCTGGAGATGGAGTCTCGCTCTGTTGCCTAGGCAGAAGTGCAGTGGGATGATCCCCCTGGCTCGCCACAGTCTCCACCTCCTGGGTTCAAGCGATTCTCCTGCCTCAGCCTCCCGAGTAGCTGGGATTACAGGTGTGCACCACTACGTCCGGCTAATTTTTGTATTTTTAGTCGAGGTGGGGTTCCACCATGTTGGCCAGGCTGGTCTCAGTGTCTTGACCTTGTGATCCGCCTGGCTATTTGTTACATATTAAAAGAACCAACACTTGGCCAGGCACGGTGGCTCATACCTGTAATCCCAGCACTTTGAAAGGCTGAGGTGAGCAGATCACCTTTAGGCCAGGAATTCAAGACCAGCCTGGCCAACGTGGTGAAGCTCCATCTCCACTGAAAATACAAAATGAGCCTGGCATGGCGGTGCCTGCCTGTAATCCCAGCCACTCCGGAGGGTGAGGCAGGAGAATCGCTAGGACCCAGGAGGCGGAGGTTGTGGGGAGCTGGGATCACGTCATTGCACTCCAGCCTGGGCAACAAGAGCAAAACTACATCTAAAACCAAACCAAACCAAAACTCAACACTTTGAGCCAACATGGTGGCTCACACTTGTAATCCCAGCACTTTGAGAGGCCGAGGCGGGTGCATCACTTGAGGCCAGGGATTCAAGAGCAGCCTCGGTAACACAGTGAGATTCCTGCCTACAAAAAGTACAAAATTTACAATATTTTTATATATTTTTTTAAGACAAAGTCTCACTCTGTTGCCCAGGCTCCAGAGATCTTGGCCCACTGCAGCAGCCTCCGCCTCCCGGGTTCAAGTGATTCTTCTGCCTCAGCCTCCCGAGTAGCACAGGTGCCCGCCACCATGCCAAGCTAGTTTTTGTATTTTTAGTAGAGACCAGGTTTCACCACGTTGGCCAGGCTGGTCTCCAACTCCTGATGAGCTCAAATGATCCGCCCGCCTCGGCCTCCCAGAGTGCTGGGATTACAGGTGTGGGCCACGCTGCCTGCCTGCCCAGTTTTGTTTTAAAGTAGCATTTGAAACCATCTAAAGCTGCATACACACTGACAGATGTCACCGCATGGGCACGTCTCGTTGGAGTCCTTGAGAGTCAGTGTGGGAGTGGGGTCTGAACCACTGCCCCTCCCACTTGGTGATATGGTCGCGGAAACTCGAATTGAATTCCTCTCTGTTCAGGCTCCTCAGGTGGCCAGGAAGGCATAAATCTGGTGGGGAGACCAGGGCAGGTGTCACTGTCAGCACCCCACCTCTTCCTGAGCCAGGTGGGGGCCAGGAGTGGGGAAGGGGCTGTCGTGGCCGCACCCCTGCAGTCACGGCAGGTGGGCCTGGAGGGTGCTCCCTGGGAAGAGCACCCACCGTGCACCCGGCCACCAGCACCATGGGGTGCTCCCCGGGAATAGCACCCATAGTGCGCCCGGCCACCAGCACCAAGGGGCCGTCATCGCCCCTTTCACACTCAGGTTTGAGCGGTGTCCCTGGGAGCATCTGGGACTTTGTTTCCGGCAGCTTCTCCCCCAGCCCGTCCCCTATCCTGAGCTCCGGCCCCTCGTCCTCTTCGGGTGCAAATCCAAACGGGGCTGAGCTGGCCCGGGTTAGGCGGCAGCTGGAGGAGGCCAAGAGGAAGATCCGGCAGTGGGAGGAGTCTTGGCAGCAGGTGAAGCAGGTGAGCATGTGGGGGCGACAGGTGGAGAGGAGGGAGGGTGGGGAAGACCGAAGGGGACACAGGCCAGGTGGAAGGGGCTGAGGCGGACCTTGGCCACCTCCTGTATGGGCCCTGGGTTTCAGGCCTGCGACGCATGGCAGCGAGAGGCGCAGGAGGCCAAGGAGCGTGCCCGTGTGGCGGACAGCGACCGGCAGCTGGCGCTGCAGAAGAAGGAGGAGGTGGAGGCGCAGGTGAAGCAGCTGCAGGAGGAGCTGGAGGGCCTGGGCATGGCCTCCGCGCTGCCAGGGCTGCGTGGCTGCGGCGACGTTGGCGCCATTCCCCTGCAGAAGCTGCATTCGCTGCAGAGTCAGCTGCGCCTGGACCTGGAGGCGGTGGACGGCGTGAGTCCCAGTCGGGGGGCGTGGGAGCTGCTGTCCCTGTCCGGGGAAGAGCTCTGGCTGGTGCGGCGTTTGCTTCCGCCTCCCCGTTCCCCCTGGGTCTGCTCTGGGTCTGTGGAGGGGACAGTGCCTTGCCTCAGCACAGCCCTACCTCCAGCACAGCTCCTGTCGGCCTCCTTGCTTGTCCTCCTGGGAGCTGCCTCTCTTGTCAGGCTGGCCCTTGTTCTTGCTTTCTGGAATGCTCCACGTTTGCCCTTTTCACCCCTCCCTCTTGCCAGCGAATGCCAGGCTGCACCCTGCACGGCGAAGGTGGCCCATCCCTCCCTGCTCACAGCCGCGGCCCTCGAGCATGCCCTTCCTCACCTCGCCTCCCAAGGGTGGGCTCCTGGCCTGGCTGCTCTGGGCTAGAGGGTCCTGAGTAGCCCACATCCTGGTTGCCCAGCTGCCAGGGGCTTTGGGCCTGTCCTGTCCAGCCACTGCCATGTCTGTGGTGGCCCCAGGAGGCCATCCTCTGCCCACAGCTCTTGAGACAGAGCATCTCATCCCGCAGCCGCCCTTCTCTCTGAGGTGGCCTTGGCCGGGGCGTCTCCTTGACCCTGTCTCTGTGGCTGGTGGCCGGGTGGCCCGAGATGCTGGGTCCTGCTCAGAAGGTCCTTGGGCTCCCTAGCTGGCCCGGCCTGGGCAGGGGCCTCCTGACCCCACTGTTGTTCTGGCCCTGCAGGTGATCTTCCAGCTCCGCACCAAGCAGTGTGTGGCCTGCCGGGAACGAGCCCACGGTGCCATCCTGCGGCCCTGCCAGCATCGTGTCCTATGTGAGCCCTGTGCAGCCAGCGCGCCTGAGTGTCCCTACTGCGAGGGCCAGCCCCTGCGGTGGTGACCTCAGCAGGGAAGGCTGCCTCCTGGTGGGCACCCTGGCTCCAGTGCTCCTCGTGACCACAGCCACGTTGTCACCGCTCGCGCCCACGTTCGGCCCAGCAGCCCTCCTGGTAACATGATCACCTCTCTAGGCCCAGCGACGGTTTCAAGGTATTTTCCTCAAAGACCTTAAAAGCAAACCCACAGAACCCACTTGCCTGTCCTCGCGGGGCCTGGTGCCTCGGGGGTCGGCGTGGGTGCTTGGTGGTCCTGACACTGCTGTGACCGGGCCACTGGGAGGTGGGGTCTCGAAGCACTTTGTGGACTGAGGAATTTAGGTAGAGGTTCTAAATTGCTCTGAGCTGCTTTCTACATTCCTGTTTTTAATATGCGACAATATGAAGCTTTATACGTGTACTGTGAACTTAAACATTTCCTATCCGTGGTTAATTCATAGTATGCTAAATACTCTAGATTTCCTATTCCGAAACTAGTACTTAGGAAATGAGCGTTTCTCTAGTAGCCAGACCTAGGATTTTTACAGTTTCCAATTAAGTGCAAATAGTATTTATAAGCAGAGTGATTACTAAGAGACTAACTTTCTGGAAGGAGCTAAGCTTTCCTAAGCCCGTGCGTGTGTGCGTGGCGCTGGAGTCTGCGTTCCACCATCATGGTGTGGGGCAGGAGAGCCCAGGCCTGCATTTCTGTGATCTGTGGCCACGTTTTCTCAGTGCCTGTGCCTTGAAAACAAGTGTAGGAACATCTTTTAAACTGCTTTTATTTCCTCCCTTGAACCTCTGAAAGGCAGTTTGATACTAAGGAAAAATGCAGCCGAGGGACCAGACATCAGAGATTTGAGAATTACTCTTTTAACAAGCTGTCTTCTGGCCGGGCGTGGTGGCTCACGCCTGTAATCCTAGCACTGTGGGAGGCTGAGCTGGGAGGCTCACCTAACATCAGGAGTTCGAGACCAGCCTGGCCAACAAGGTGAAACTGTCTCTACTGAAAATACAAAATGTAGCTGGCCGGGGTGGCAGGCACCTGTGGCCTCAGCTACTGGGGAGGCTGAGCCCGAGAATGGCTTGAACCCAGAAGGTGGAGATTGCAGCGAACTGATATCTCGCCACTGCACTCCAGCCTGGTACGCGCGGGACTCCGTCGCAAAAAGAAAAGGGCAGTTGTCTTCTGGTGACTTAGCTCTGTCATAGGCAATGGTGCTCTGTAACTCCTTGGAGGATTGCCTCCCTGGCACCTGTGACCATCCCCGGTCCTGCTCGAGTAGGAGATGCTCGAGCCGTGGTGTGTGCCAGAGTCCAGGGCACTGGGTGTGTGTGACAGTCACCTGCGCTGTACTGCCAGGTATTACCGAAGCTCATCCATGTGGCCAGTGAAGTCATACAGAGGACCCAGTCCCTCAGCAGCCTGGAGCACGTGCGGGAGGCAGCCTGCACAGTCCCGGCTCTGCTGTGGCCCCGTGTCCGTCCGCCCTGGAGCGACGGCGTGGCTTCTGGCCGTAGCAGAAACTCGACTAAGAACACGTCCCCATGACGACCTTTTCTGCTCAGGCCTGGGATTGTCCCTGGGAGTTGAGCAGGTGTAGGCGTCCACGTGACGGCAGCCTGGCTGTCCGCGAGGCCACACGGGGTGTGAGGGAGCGGGAGGCGGCACCAGGGCAGTTCTCCTGGCCCATGGCTTTGCCAAAGACTTTCAATAGCATTTTTTTAAAAGTGCAAAATGCTCGGTAAAAATTTTATTAGTGACCAAATTGGAATGTATTTAATACAGTAGGAGGTTTAAGAACTTTTTAATGTAAGACAAGCTGGTAGCCACATTGTCATTTTAAAGGAAGTGGATCTGTGACATTCTGCGCTAGTCCGCTACAGCTAACTAACTGTTGACTTGGTTTTAGTGGCTGTTCTGTTTTTAATGATAGTGATGATTTATTAGCTCAGTATCTAGAAATTACGTATATTTTGTGCTCCCGTCATCAGTGTTTAAAATCCTTTGTTTTCATTAGTGTTTATGCACTTGGTTCCCATTTTGGGCCTCTGGGCTTTTGTGGGATATGTGGTGCCTGCCCAGGGGTCCCCTGGTTGTCAGCAGTCAGGGGTAGCTGAGCCCTTGTCCGCGGCTGCTGTGCTCTTTCTGGGAACCAGGTGGCAGCTGCCCCTCAGGCATCTCCAGGGCTCAGTTTCCAGGTGGTGGTGCTGGGGGCGAGGGCTGAGAGATGATGGAGGTGATCTGGAGGATCACCCCCAGATCAATACTGGCTCTGAGGACAGGAGTGCGGTGGAAAGACCAAAGAGTGGCCCGGGACACACGGGCACCACTGGGGTCAGAAACAGAGGCAGGATCCTGGGGCCCCAGGTCCTGGGCCCTTCCTCACCCGACTCTGGTCTTGAGGGCCGAGGCCTCGGGTACGGATCCTGAGTGGTCGAGGTGCACAGCAGTGGCTGGAAGGTGCTGAGCTGGAGGCAGGCTCGGTGGCTCCCGCCTGTGGCCGGGCGGGCCCTGGCTGTGGGAGCCGGGTGGTGGCTGGTCCCGCCGTGGTCTTGTTGCCTGTAACTCGAGTGTTCAATAGTAGCCGTGATAACATTGGCGTCACGACGTGTGTGTAACTGTGGTCAGCAGACCTCGTTCCATGTGGACGTGTCACGTGGATTAATTTATGGAAGCCTCAATCTATTTAGATGAGAATGTTAATTGAATGGAATTTTCTTAACCCAGAAGGTAGTATTTATGATGCATAATCATTTACTTGTAGTGACTGTTTAAAGGTAACACTTAAGTTTTTTACACTATAGCATTTATGCAGTGGTTTACAGAATTCATGGAATTATTTTTATCAGTATGGGAATTAAAACCTTGAATCTTTGTTTTGTCTGCTTCTCTGAGCACAAGCCTGCCTGGCTGGTCCCTGGAGGTTCCCGGCTGGCTTCTCTGTGGGGCTCTTTACACCAGAGGCTCACAAGCTCCCACGCAGGCCCGGGTCGCCCCGCAGCTGCTCTGGAGGCCCCGGTCTGGGCGTCTTGTGGCCTAAGTGCTCCAAGCTAGAGGTTTCTGCCAAAAGAACAGGTGGCAGGTCCTGATCTGGACCCATAGGCAGCGGGTGCTGGGGTGGGGCGGGACTCACCTGTGGGCTTTGCATGGGGAATGCCGTGCTGGGTGAGCAGACCTTTCAGCCTTTTCAGCTCCTCTGACAGTTCTTTATGAGCCTACGGCAAAACGAGTGGAAGGGCAAGGCCAGGCCACGGGGGGTAGGCTGCTGCCCCTGCCCCTGCCCCCAAGACCGTACCTTTCTGCAGTTTTCCAGGGTCTCAAACCCCAAGCCATCAGGACCTCCCTCCAGCTCTGGGGGTTCATCTTCTGGGCTTCTCAAGTAGCCGGCATCCTCAAAGAGTGTCTGCAGCAACTTCTGATGGCCCTGCAGGTGGAGGACGCGGGGGGCAGCACCCAGCTCTCAGCCAGGCCCACCTGGGGCCGCCCCGAGTGCCCGCTCACCTGGGGGGTGATCAGCTCGTCGGCCAGGTCCTGTTCCACCTGGTCCCACCGCCGCTGCAGGGCCTCTGGCAGGGCTGGGTACACTGAGGACCCAAGAGAAGCCAGGCTGAGCTGCACCTTGTGTCCCAACCCTGGCCACCCCAACCTGCGGCAGGGCTGAGTACGAGGACAACGCAGCTGGGCTCAGCTGCACTCAAACCCCTACCTAGCAAGGAGTGGGGGTGGCAGACGAGGGGCGTCTCGAACGTCAGCGCGTACACACAGGTGCTGGGCTCGGACACATGGGCCAGCCGGTTGCTTTTTCCACACGTCAGCTCTACCTGGGGAGGGAAGTCGGGTGGGTGAGTGGGCTGGGGAGGCTAGGGCCCCTCTTCCAACACTCCTGTCTGAGACCTCACCTTGCTCTGCCGGCTCCGGGACCGGCAGGCATCGCCGTCCCTCATCCACATGCCCGTGAAGGTGTTGTTGGCAATCTCCCACTCGTGCCAGATGCTGGGGGGACATGGCGCGGCGTGTGAGGCTGGGTGGGGAGCTGGACTGCTGCAGACCCCTGTCCCGGCCCCGCTCACCCAAGGATCCCGCTGTAGGCGTTCCAGCGGAAGGTCTGCTCGTGCTGGGTCACGTTGTGGAATGGACAGAACTCGTACTTGTACCTGGGGGCACAGGTGGCATAAGGGAGGTCCCCAGGCTGCGCCCAGCCCACCCTCATACCCACGCTGCACTCACGTGGACTCCACCAGGCTGAAGCACTTGCCGGAGAGTCGGGAGAGATGCACGGGCCCTGGAAGAGAAGCTGTGAAAGTGGCCGGAGCAGAGCCACGGGGGATGAAAATCGACTCAACCAGAGCTTTATCAGTGGCAGCAAACGCCAGACCAGGAAGCTCTGAGATTCTTTCTCCGTGAAAATGAGAACCCCAGCCAACTGAGCTCACCTCACAGGAGGGGTCACCCCATCAGCACAGAGCAACCTTCAAGGCAGTAGACCGAGCTCTCCTGCGCCCACACATGGCACCGGGAGGGCCTCGGCACCGAACCCTGGCCTGGCCGGGGCTGCCCAGGGGACCGGCCTTGCTCTGCCCTACTCAGATGTCAGGAGGGCCAGTCGCTCAGGAGAGAGCAGCAGGGACGGCAGACCCACAGAGGCCTGGGGCAGGTCTCCAGAAATGAAGGCACTCTGCGGCAGCCACGCACACAGGAACCTGGGAATCGCAGCAGCAGGCTGAGACGAGACCGAAGAGCTTGCTCTTTGACCTCACGCTGATCCCCAGGCTCAAGCACAGAACCCGTGAGCAAAGACTGATGGAGAGGAATGTTTTCAAAGGACCGGTTACCAACAAAAAGCACAAGACGTTCAAAGACTCAGGAAAGGGGGTCCCATTCCATGGGAGAGACTGGCAAACAGAATTCTACATTCAGGAAAGTAGCCCTCCAAAAATGAGAGTGGAGGCTTGGTGCCGTGGATCACATTTGTAATCCCAGCACTTTGGGAGGCCAAGGCGGAGGGATCGCTTGAGGCCAGGAGCATGAGACCAGCCTGGGCAACATTTCGAGACCCCGTGTCTACACCAACACACCCACCCACCATTAGCTGGGTGTAGAGGTGTGCACATGTAATCGCAGGTACTTGGGAGGCTGAGGTGGGAGGCTTCCCTCGAGCCGAGGAGATGCGGAGGCTGCAGTGAACTGTGACTGCACCACTGCACTCCAGCCTGGGCAACAGAGCAAGGCCCTGTCTCCAAAGAAGAGCGGACACGCCCAGGTAAACAAAAGCTTCAGGAGCTGGGCAGCGGCAGTCCTGTGTGCCACCCAGGAAAGTGGGCAGACAGCAGCCCATCCGGAGGAGACAGAAGGCCCTGGAACAGGGAAGTGCGTGGGTCAGTTAAAGGCCATTCTCCTCCTCGCTGTGGTCTGTAAACCTGCAGGTCTGAACACAGCAGTCCCCCACCTTTTTGGCACCAGGAACTGATTTCATTTGGAAAGCAGGTTCCCACCACCCAGGGCTGGGGGGTGCGAGGTGTGGGGAGGAAACCTCCAGCTCAGATCATCAGGCATTAGATGATGATGATGATTTTTGAGACAGTCTAACTCTTGTCACCCCAGGCTGGAGTGCAATGGCACCGTCTCGGCTGACCGCAACCTCCAACTCCTGGGTTTAAGTAATTCTCCTGCCTCAGCCTCCAGCTGTTACCAGCATGCCCAGCTAACTTTTTTATTTTCAGTAGAGACAGAGTTTCACTGTGTTGGCCAGGCTGGTCGCTAACTCTTGACCTCAAGTGATCCACCCGCCTTGGTCTCCCAGGTGCTGGGGTTACAGGCGTGAGCCACCGCGCCCGGCGTGAAAGACCAACGTTAAAGACAAATAGGTTGACGGTGAAGGTGTGGAAAACTATCCATGTAAACAGCCAGAGAGCAGAGTGGCCGAGACGATTAGGAGACAAAGGTGTTACGCACTGACCGAGGGTCAGTGAGCCACGATGCGATGCGCAGTTATCCATGCACGTGCCACCAACCACGTGGCGGCAGCACGGGCAGGAGACAGTGATGCCCCACTTCTTTTTTTGTGTTTCTGAGACAGAGTCTGGCTCTGTCGCCCAGGCTGGAGTGCAGTGGTGCAATCTCAGCTGTAACCGCCACCTCCCAGGTTCAAGTAATTCTCCTGCCTCTGCCTCTCCAGTAGCCAGGATTACAAGCACCCGCCATCATGCCCAGCTTATTTTTGTAGAGATGGGGTTTCACCATGTTGGTCGGGCTGATCTTGAACTCCTGGCCTCATGTGATCCACCTGCCTCAGCCGCCCAAAGTGCCGGGGTTACAGGCATGAGCCACTGCGCAGCCTGATACCCGATTTCTAATGCGACAGCACCACCAAAAGGAAGATCCATGAGGAGACAGGCCCCCCACACGCCTCCCAGAACACTCCACACAACAGCGAATACACATTTTTTTAGGTGCATGTGGAATTTTTTTTTCAAGGAGAGACTACATGCTACATCACAAATTTGGTCTTTTTGTGTTTGGAGACAGAGTCTCGCTCCGTCGCCCATGCTGGAGGGCAGTGACTCAATCTCGGCTCACTGCAGCCTCAGCTTCCTGAGTAGCTGGGGTTACAGGCACCCACCATCCTACCCAGCTAATTTTTGTAGAAACGGGGTTTCACCCAGTTGGCCAGGCTGGTTCTGAACTCCTGGCCTGAAGAGATCCGCCCACCTTGGCCCCCAAAGTGCTGGGACTACAGGCGTGGCACTGCACTCAGCCTCAAAACTGGTCTTAAAAGAAATTATCTTTTGATCACAAAGCAGGGAAACTGGAAGTTAAAAGAAGAGCAAATGGAAAATAAGTAAAACAAGACAGTCTTTTTTTTTTTTTTTTTGACAGAGTCTTGTTCTGTCGCCCAGGCTGGAGGGCAATGGCATGATCTGTGGCTCACTGCAACCTCCACCTTCTGGGTTCAAGCGATTCTCCTGTCGCCGCCTCCCGAGTAGCTGGGATTGCAGATGCCCGCCACCCCACTTGGCTAATTTTTGTATTATTAATAGAGATGGGTTTTCATCATGTTGGCCAAGTCTCAAACTCCTGACCTCAGGTGATCTCCTGCCTCAGCCTCCCAAAGTTCTCAGATTACAGGCATGAGCCACTGCGCCTGGCTTAGTCTTAAACGATGGTCAAAGAAGAAATCACAGTGTGAGTTAGGAAGTACCTTGAGACATAAAAAGGAAAAGCCCCCATATTTACAGGAAACTTACATGATCGGCAAAGCCCCTGATGAGATCGAAGTTCACAGCTATACGCGGGTTGGAAAACGTGGTCTGGGCACAGCGGCCCATGCCTGTCATCCCAGGCAGGCAGATCATGAGGTCAGGAGGTCCAGACCATCCTGGCTAACATGGTGAAACCCTGTCTCGACTGAAAATACAAAAATCAGCTGGGTGTGGTGCTGCGCACCTAGGTCCAGCTACTTGGGAGGCTGAGGCTGCACCATCACTTAAACCCGGGAGGCAGAGGTTGCAGTGAGCCGACATCTTGCCACTGCACTCCAGCCTGGGTGACAGAGCGAGACTCCATGTCAAAAAAAAAAAGCAAAGGATTGAACAGACACTTCTGCAAAGACCAGAAGCAACGGAAAACATGCTGCATCACTGATGATGGGGACACAAACTGGAACAACCCCAAGGGACCACGTCACACCGTTAGGATGGCTGTGGGCAAAAACAGCGCTGGGGAGGATGCGCAGAAATGGGAGCCCTCCTGCGATGCTGCCTGGGGAATGGGTGGGACAGCCGCAGGCCCCTCAACAAGCTACACGTGGCATTCTTAGAAGACTCGCAAACCTCCTCTTGGAAATTGGAAGCAGAGACTCACATACCTACACACGTGTTCCCGGGAGCCTGTTCACAGCTGAAGGGCAGAAGCCCCCGGTGTCCGTGAACCGATGGCAGGGAGGTCATAGATGCCCCATCCTTGCAACGGGACTGTCCTGAGCCTTAAAAGGCAGGAGGCACAGACATGGCGTCCACCCTGGATGGACCCTGGTGACACTGCACTGACAAGAGAGACGCAACAGCTGCACACAGCAGGAGTCACGTGTGTGACGTCTCTCCAACGGCCACGTCCAGAGACAGAGCAAAGCGCTGGGTGCAGGGGCCGGAAGTGGGGCGGCTGGGGGGCTGTTTGGAGGTGACAGAGAATCAATTTGTGCTGACAGCTACCAGGGCAGCGTAAAGCTGCAGACCCGTGCGTGACCGATGGCTGACCTGACAGTTAATGCTGTGCTTTTTCTTTTTTTTTTTTTTTTGAGACGGAGTTTCGCTCTTGTTACCCAGGCTGGAGTGCAATGGCGCGATCTCGGCTCACCGCAACCTCCGCCTCCTGGGTTCAGGCGATTCTCCTGCCTCAGCCTCCTGAGTAGCTGGGATTACAGGCACGCGCCACCATGCCCAGCTATTTTTATTTTATTTTTAGTAGAGACGGGGTTTCACCATGTTGACCAGGATGGTCTCGATCTCTTGACCTCGTGATCCACCCGCCTCGGCCTCCCAAAGTGCTGGGATTACAGACCTGAGCCACCATGCCCGGCCCCATGCTGTGATTTTTCGTTCGGGGAAATACACATTTAAAAAGCAGCACAAGAGCCATGGAGCTGAGGCCAGCAGCGCACACAGCCCTGGGGGATTTCTCGTGCGCCCAGCGAGGCCAGGCACAGGCAGCGCGAGAGCGACGGCAGGTATAAATCAAGGCCACTGCAGCCACAGCAAGACATGGGCCTTTCCTGTTCAACCAGAATCCCTGTTCCTCCAGCTGACGAGTCGGGACCTGGCTGGATGCACCGCCTCTAACATGCCGCCCTCCGAGACTGGCTCTGGGGCTTGGGCCGAGGAGCAGGGAGGCGCCCTGGCCCCTGGCCCCCAAAGCGTCTGCGCTGAAGCAGCAGGTGCGCCGGTCTAGTGGCTGATGCTTCAGTGAGGCTGTTTTTCAGCTCTATTCAGTTTTACTGTATTAACAATAAAGCTGCAACACACCCGAGGTGCTGGATGACCAGTCCCTGGAAATCTGGCTGCGCTGGGAGCCAGATGCCACCCTGGGGCCACCCTCAGTCCGGCCCTCCCCCGCAGAGGGCAGACGCTAATGCCACTGAGGCCCCCGGGGTGCTGGACCGGCCTGGACTTCTGTTCCCCGACATTCGAGTCATCCCTCGGCTATCCCCTTCCCGGACAGAGGGAGACCAAGATGGCCAGGCTGCCCTGCTCGGGGGATGACGGCTGTGGGTATAGGAAGGTCCTGGTC